CAGCAGATATTTCAGCAACCTTCAGTAGTTCAGAAAGGATTTACATTTCCCCAGTAACCAAAAGTCATCCGGTTTACCATATTTACTATCCATAAATGAAAGGTGATATCTCTATAAGCACTTATGCTGATCAAATTGGATTACCCTGATTGGAAATCAAAGTGGTAAATAATTTGTTTTGGTTTTTCTTTTTCTTTTTCTATTTTGAGATACTTCAGAATTCTTGACAAATTATCTATCTTCTATAGACCAGTCAATTCTCCCTCTTGAAACATCTTCTTTTGTATGTTTTCAAGCAGTTCAGTTCACATGATTTTAGCATTAAAATGAAAAGGGAGAAAGTGAACTCACACTTTATTAAGTAGATATTATTGATGAAAGATGGCAAAGTTATTCTGGGATTGATTATGAGAGATGTAGAGTGCCTAACCTGATTAGATGCCTAACCATGATAGCGATTTGGCTTCACATTTAAGTCGATCATTTTGTCCTTCTTGGCATGATCATGTGCACTCCCATCTGAAACTACGACAGGAGAGGATCTGCGATTTTGTTGATTGTCTTCAACCATTGGCTTTGGTGAGTGACTATATTCCCTCTTGTTTTCACCAGGATCTAATGTCTTCCCGGCTAACTCCTCCATAGGCCCAGGTTTGTCTCCTGGAAACTACATGAGAAAGTATAGAAAGATGAACCAAAGCATATCACACTGCACATATCAAGAGTGGGATGTAACTCATACGACAGAGTTACCAACCTCAACTTTCTGCCTCAACAGGAGATATCTACTGTGTGTTCGTTTACCTCCAACGTGTACGATCATGTCGCATTGCAGACAAAGAGAACTTCCATCAACCTCACAGTAAAAGAATGCTTCAAGCAAAGGAAGTTAGCAATAGTTAGTTCGTTTTGCACGCCCTATTGAGTAGGATAAAACAACAAAATAACATCACAGGAATCAGAAGAAAAAACTTAAGAACTGAAGAATGAAGAGGATTAAACTCTATGTACCAGGTGCATTTTCACATATGTCGCAACGAGGAACATCGTTGGGCTTAGCTAGTCCAACCCTCACATGCCTACTAGCAAGCTTATTACACATATGAACCTATGGACAAATGTGAATACAATTAGAAACGTTCACAAGAATGGAGAACATCAAGTCTCTTAGCGGCGTTGTCAATATTAGTAGGTTAAACTTGTTGACTCAGATGGAACTCCAGTAGATTTGGCCTTTCATGCCTCTGGGTCAGAAATGAGTAGTGTTGAAGATATAAATAAGAACATAAAAGGCTGTAACATCTTAAACTTTTACATGCGGTGATTAGATAATCAACATGGCATGGAAGTAGGCAGGAGTCCTTGGTTCATATCTCACCACAATTCATTATCAATATATTTTTGCACATGCTAGCTTGACCCATAAGAAAGAATTAGGCTCACACGTGAACAGACATGTTATTAAAGATATAAATAGAAGTGTGTCTCTCTAATATAGCATAAACTTTTAGATAAGATGTTTGCATTTATTCAACAACTGGGAAGATCACAGTCACTAGACAAATTCCAACATATAGATATATAAAATAACCCTTAAGGACTAAGAAAATTTTTTTACTAACTTAAAGTAGATGAACAGAAGAAACCAAAACCAGAGAGAAGAAGCAATGATTCCCTGGTTGTAAATACTGAAGAAATGCCCGTTTGCATAACAGGTCAGCATGATTTTTGACCTTAAAGAAGTTGATGATGGAGCAACTGATTGCAGCCTCTTTAAGTAACATAAAGACGCACATAATTACACTTATCAAAAGAAAAAACACACAGACACACACAGAGATAATTTCAATTCTAAAATTAGCATCATCCTATCTTGTTGATTTTATAACTATGGTCGACACAAGATATCTGCAATCCAGTACACAAAAAATAGTCATTTCTTTGTTCTTCCGTTCCCTTTTCCAGATATAAGTTGACTTGAACAATTATTCCACCCCATCAACAAATAAAATGCTAAACTGAACACATTCAACAAACTAATTACAACCCAAAAGAAGAAATAGAAGTTTCATGCAAGTACAAAGGGACAAATAGTATTAGAGTGAGAGTAAAATTAGACCTTGTCGTCACAGGCACGGCAAAGTGCAGCCTCATCGGCAGCGCAGAAAAGAATGGCAGCAGCACTTTCACAAACATCACAAAGTGTCCGCATTATTCATTTCTACGACTCCCCCAATACTAACACAATTTTAAACATTACTTATCACTTTCAACTCTTCTTCAATATACTTCTATTTCGTCAAATAACCTCCAAAGTCTGGATCTTTACGTCAAGTTGAATACTTGGTACAAATGCAGGAAACAACTCACAAAATATATTTTAAGTTTAACAAACCATATTTCTTTAAAGGAAACTACAGTTTGAAAAGATAGTAAACGATAATGATAAAAGGTGGGACTAGGATTATTTTTCTGATTGGCTCGGGTTTTGAATATCAGACCAGAAATAGCACCATGATCTATTAGAGGAACCGTAAAGAAAAATATATGGTGGCGTCAACTGAGGGAATGCTCCACAGCCACAAGATTAAAGAGGGTGGCCATGAAAATTCCAATTCTCAACCACCAATTACATATCTTAGACATGACATGGCCCATCGAATTTAATAGTGAGTACTTGTCTTTTCAATGATGCTTCTCCATTTTCATCATTTTTGGATATTCTTTAATGCAAGCCACCTTGTGAGGTCTATGATTACGCCACGTGCCCCCTTTGCCTTTTTGTTTTCAACAACCGTACGTAAATTTTGTTATTGCATCCCAATGACTTGCCTAAATCGATTTGGTCCCCTAATGCTTCATTTTTTTGTCACGTGCTACTACTCCGCATTCCCTAGTTGCCTTGTCGGTGTATTTACTTAGTTGTTGATAATCTCGATTTTAGTTTAATTTAATTTTATACAAATTGATGATATATATAATTATAACTTGCAACATCATAGCAATTTGTCTACTATTTTTGAACTAGTTTCATATGAATAATTACTTATACAGTAATTATTTTTTTAAGTAATTTGATATATTATTAAAATTGTTTATATTATAAGTATATATAAGTTAAATGCATCTAATTCCATCTATCAAAATTTGGATCCTTGTGGAGCAAGTTGAGCCATAGCAAGTCTAAACAAACCTTATTGGTCTATATATCTTTTGATCGAATAATAATATGCATTGATAACCCATAAGTACAAGTCTAAAGCAGTATAAAAGAGGCAAAAACTCACAATGTTACGAATTGACGCGTTATTGTCTGTTGTTGGGTTTCAAATCCCCTTGCCCTCACCCAAAAGACCTCGATTGACACAACGGGTTTAGAAAGTTTTGACAAACAAATTTGTTGGAGGCGTGGCTTTAATTGTCTAATTCCTCCACTTACTAAGGTTGGTATAGACATGTAAAATCAAGACTTACGAATAAAGTTGCAGAAGCATAAAAGATAATTGTAGATATTATTCCATTGGGATACTCCGGGAAAGGGGACAAATATCTACTAGTGTCTATTTTATTTAATAAATAAATAGGATTATATACGAAAACTAAAGTAAATTTTGAGAAGAAATGGATACATTGATACAAGGATTCCACATCCATTTGAACTTATTGGGGCGCTCGATCGGAATGAACGTGTGGATATATAGATAAAGTAACAATGTCGACCAAGCACATGCATGCTATAATTATTGTAGCAGGAAGGAAAAAAATATATGTGCAAATGTTTAATAGTATTGTATACGGTAAAATCGGAGGTTCCAATCTTCTGTTATTATGGTGCCTCGTAAGCATATTTCACAAGGTTCGAGACTAGGGTCGGGGTTTACCCTCGAGGGCTATTGGCGCTCGATCTCGGGGCGATGCAGACCAACGTCTAAGATGGAAAAGTGGGGAGTTCCCAAGGCATGCAGCTAGAGCCGACAAAGTCTGTCAGGCTAGTCTAAGCCCACATCATGACATTAACTAGCTTTCTCATCTCCATATCTTTGTGATTAATGTATTTGTACTATGTTGGGATTCCCCCTCTTATATAAAGGTGATCCTTGTCATTATGTAAACATCGGTTGCTCAATACAAAATACACAAGAACATTCTATCTACTCTCTAACATATTCTCCTGATATTATTGCTTCCATTTATTGCCTATATTTATTGTGTTCTATTTATTGTTTTTCATTTATTGCTTGTTATTGTCCATAAAGATGAGTCATTGATTTATTACTACTGTTAGTCACCCATCGATTACCCTCGATAGTTCCTAGCCAAGCTTCAGACTCGACCCCGAGGCCCTCGAATAGGCAAGCTCGAGGCCCCGATTACTAACCATTCGGTTTGGTTATCACCTTGCTCTCAAGCTCTTATTCCGTTTCTAAATCTTTCACATATCACCAACTTCTTAACAACTAGCATAAAAATAGATCACGTTTTTTAGAACTACTAAATCAAATTTAATTGTTATTACCTTTTTCACGGTAAACAGTTTGGCGCTCACCGTGAGGCTATAAATAATAGTGATTATTTTTTTGCTGGTTTTACTACACAACACAAGTTATCTTTCACACTTTTTCTTGTTTAAGATCTTTGATTTCAGGTCGAAATGCCTAAACCAGTAAATGTACCTAAAACTAACAGCCTAAAAACGATGGAAAGGGCGGTATGGTTATTCCAGGTATTGGTGTGCCATCGCGAAACCCTGAGAGAACACCGAAGCCGATTCCCAAGGGTACGACCTCATGCGACGCCCAATGCGTTAGCGCCGGTCCTCACATTAACCAGGGAGCGCGCTGAGAAAATCAGCGGAAACTAGGAAAAATCCAACCTGGGCAAAAAGAGAGATTCCTCGGCGTGTCGTTCATATGATTATCGGGGGGACCGACATTCCTCGAGGACCCGTGATCAAACGGATAAAATTATTCGTTGCAATAGAAGGTCCAATCCGAGACCGCATGACCGAAGACACCCTTGCATTCAGCGAGGAGGATCTCGAGACCTTGGCAGAACCACACAACGATGCGCTAGTAATTTTATTTCTTTTAAGCAACATTCGAATTAAACGTGTGCTCGTGGATCCAGGAAGCTCGACCAACATAATCAGGTCAAAGGTAGTAGAACAACTTGGGTTGCCCGATAAGATCATACCCGCCTCACGGGTCCTCCACGGCTTCAACATGGCCGGCGAAGTAACAAAAGGAGAGATCGCCCTCCCGGTTGACATGTCCAGTACAGTTCAGAACACCAAGTTCCACATAATCGGCGGTGACATGAGGTACAACGTATTGCTTGGCAGGCCGTGGATACACAACATGAGGGCAGTGTTGTCAACTCTGCACCAAATGATAAAATTTCCAATAAATGATGGTATAACAACCTAGACTCATGCGGCGAAAGAAATGTTCGCGGTTTACCAGGAGGCGCCGACTCCCATACACTCCACCTCGAATGAGTCTAGGAGCGTACAGTCCCCCGAGGATAATGAAGAAGATTTCCTTGCTCCTCGAACTTTCGTTGCCCCCGAAGAGTTGAATACAATGAAATTGACAATTGAATAAATGGAGCAAGTTGTTTTGATCGAGCACCTCCCAGATCGGAAGGTATACCTGGGAACGGGATTAACTCCCGAACTCAGGAAAGAACTCATTCAATTTCTTATTAATAACATCGACTGTTTCGCTTGGTCCCACTTAGATATGACAGGAATCCCGCCGGAAATAACCACCCACCGATTGAGTGTCGACCCTAGGTTTAAACCGGTGAAGCAAAAAAGAAGACCCCAGTCCGAAGTAAAACACGCATTCATCAAGGACGAGGTAACGAAACTCCTTAAAATAGGGTCTATTAGAGAGGTGAAGTACCCCAAATGGCTGGCCAACATAGTGGTAGTACCCAAAAAGGGAAATAAGTTAAGAATGTGTGTAGATTATAAAGACTTAAATAAGGCGTTCCCCAAGGATTCGTTCCCATTGCCTAACATTGATCGCCTGATCGATGCTACGGCCGGCCACGAGACCCTCACCTTTCTCGATGCCTACTCGGGTTATAATCAAATTCAGATGAACCCCGAGGATAGGGAAAAGACTTTGTTCATCATGAAGTATGGTACATACTGTTACAATATAATGCCCTTCGGGCTGAAAATCACAGGGGCTGCGTACCAACGTCTAGTTAATAATATGTTCGAGCATCAAATAGGCAAATACATGGAAGTTTATATTAATGACATGCTAGTTAAGTCCCTGCGCGCAGAGGATCATTTGACTCATTTGCAGGAAACCTTCGACATCCTCAGAAGTTACAACATGAAGCTTAACCCCGAGAAATGTGCCTTCGGAGTGGGTTCGGGCAAATTCTTAGGCTTTATGGTATCAAACAGGGGGATCGAGATTAACCCTGGCAAAATCTAGGCCATCGAAGAAAACACGATGATAAATAATGTAAAGGTCGTGCAACGGCTGACAGGGCGGATAGTGGCTTTGAACAGATCCATACCAAGGTCGTCGGACAGAAGTCATCATTTCTTCTCTTTACTTAAAAAGAACAACTTCGAGTGGACTCCAAAATGCCAACACACCTTAGAGGAATTAAAATGATATCTGACTAGTCCGCCTTTGCTCCACACGCCAAAAGAGGATGAAATGCTATATCTATACCTGGTCGTATCCGAGATAGCAGTAAGCGGTGTGCTAGTTCGAGAAAAGCAAGGTACGCAATTCCCTGTTTATTATGTAGGTCGAACCCTAGGGGACACCGAAACCATGTATCCGCACCTAGAAAAATTAGCTTTTGCGTTAATAAGCGCATCACAAAAATTGAAACCCTATTTTCAATGCCACCGTATTTGAGTTCTAACAACATACCCTCTCCGAAGCATATTGCATAAACCCGAACTATAAGGCCGATTGGCCAAATGAGCTGTTGAACTCGGGGGGTATGATATCGAGTATCAACCCCGAAAGGCCATCAAGTCCCAGATTCTGGCAGACTTCGTGGATGACTTCTTGCCTTCCCTCGTGCCCGAGGTAGAAAAGGAACTTTTACTAAAATCAGGCACGTCTTCTGGGGTATGAACCCTGTTCACTGACGTGACACAAACGTGAGAGAATCCAGACTCGGTATATTCCTGAAGCCACCTACGGGTGGCATAATCAGGCAATCTATAAAAACTGCAAGATTGACTAACAATGAAGCCGAGTATGGGGCTATGATTGCAGGTCTGGAATTGGCCAAAAGCCTGGGAGCTGAGAACGTCGAAGCAAAATGCGATTCATTCCTGGTAGTAAACGAGGAAAATGGGAGCTACGAGGTCCGAGAAGACAGGATGCAAAGGTATTTGGAAAAAATCCAAGTCACATTATGCCGTTTTAAAGAACCTTCGTCCACGTACCTTGGGGGCAGAACAGCGAGGCCAATGCCCTCACAAACCTGGATCATCTGTTGAAGAAGATGACCTACTCTATGTGGCTGTTATTCAACTGTCCAAATCAATGGTCGAGGAAGGTCATACCGAGATTAATTCTACTAGCCTAACATGGAATTGGAGAAATAAATATATTGACTATCTCAAAGACGAAAAATCTCCCGTGGATCCAAAGGAATCAAGGGACATGTGAACCAAAGCAGCCCGGTTCTCGCTCGATGAAAATGAGACTATGTATAGAAGAACTTTCGATAGCCCCCTAACAGTATGTATGGGGCCAGGAGACATAGATTATGTACTCCGAAAAATTCACGAGGGTACTTGCGCAAACCACTCCAGTGCCGATTCTTTGGTCCGAAAGGTGATCAGGCCAGGCAACTACTGGGACAACATGGAAAAAGACACTAAGGAATTCGTTCGAAAGTGCGACAAATACCAGAGATTTGTCGCTATGATTCACCAACCCGGCGAACAGCTACATTCGGTCTTATCGCCATGGCCGTTTATGAAATAGGGATTGGACATCGTCGGACCTCTACCAACGGCGCCAGGTAAAGCTAAATTCATTTTATTTATGACTGACTATTTCTCAAAATGGGTGGAAGCGCAGGCCTTCAAGAAGATAAGAGAAAAAGAAGCCATTGACTTTATTTGGGACCACATTATGTGCCGATTCGGGATTCCATCCGAGATGACATGCGATAATGGGAGGCAATTCATCGGAAGCAAAGTAACACAGTTCCTTGAGGATCACAAAATTAAGAGAATTCTGTCGATACCTTACCACCCGTGTGCAAACGGCCAGGGCGAGTCCACAAACAATATCATCATCCAAAACTTAAAAAAGAAGTTGGAAAGCGATAAGGGAAAATGGAGAGAAATATTACCCGAAGTGCTATGGGAATACCAAACAACTTCAAAATCAAGCACAGGGGAAACACATTTCTCTCTATTGTATGGCGTCGAGGCTTTGATACCAGTGGAGGTCGGGGAGCCAAGCACTAGATTCTGACACACCATTGAGAGCTTGAACAACGAGGCTATGACTAAGGCCCTCAAAATATTTAATGAAAAGCGAGAAGCCTCGCTGGTCTGAATGGCTGCCCAAAAGCAAACGATCGAAAGGTATTATAACAGGAGAACAAACCTCCGACATTTCAGAGTCGGGGACTTGGTCCTAAGGAAAGTCACCCTTAACACCCGAAACCCTAATGAAGGAAATCTGGGCCAAAATTGGGAAGGACCGTACCACATCCTTGGAGTAATTAGCAAAGGGTCTTACAAGCTCGGTAACATGGAAGGCGACCAACTTCCAAGCAACTGGAACATATCAATGCTAAAACGATACTACTGCTAAAGTGTCCGATGAAAGATTCTGAAACACCCTCAAACTCGAGGGTCTCGGGCTCTTAAAAGCATGTGTTGCATTCTTTTCCTTCGACCGAATTTTGTCCCTGGAAGGGTTTCACCGACAAGGTTTTTAACGAGGTAACATCCATATGCTGCCTAAGAAAGACTCAACAAGTATTTAAGGTTTCTTTTGCAATCAACCTTGAATACTGGGGACATCCCCCCGAAAGGTCACCTACTCGGAGAAGCCAAGATACATCAAATGAGGTCTCGATAGGAAAATAATGTACCGAGCCAAACAGTCGAACGAACTATGTCCGTATAGAGCAACCGAGCCCTTAACAGCAAAGGCAAGTATACTTGTACCAAGTAATCAAAGAATATTTCCCAAAAGCATTATGCGTTTCAAGAAACTTGATATTTTTTGCAAAACGGCTCCAGAGCCGAAAATGTCCCGAATACTCAAGGACTGGCGTCAACAACTCGAAATTATGCGATCCCTAGGTCGAAGCTCCTAACTCATAAGCCCTCAAAGAGGCAACATCAAGATCACAAAGTGGCTCCAGAGCCAGAAACGTCCCGAACACTCGGGGACTGGCATCAAAAAGGCCACATGACCCCCAGGTCGGAAACTTCAAAATCGTAAGCCCTCAATGAGGCAATATCATATTTACAAATAATAGCTCCCGAGCCAAGAAATCCCCGATGACTTAGGGACTGCCGTCTATCGCCATCTCCATCGACTTATCAAAATCCGAGGCCATAAGACCACATGTGGGAAGCCTCAGTCTCATAAGACCTATATAAGGCAACATCAATATCTGTAAGACCTCAAGAAAGGTATGAACCACACTTATACCAAGTGATAATATCTATAAGACCTCAAGCAAGGCATGAACCATACTTGTACCAAGTATCCAAAACTGTAAGACCTCAAAGGCATATAGAACTTGTTAGACTTTACTAAAGGCATAAACCCGATCTCAAAGTTAATGCTATATATCAAACTTGTAATACCCCTAAAAGGCATAACCTCGATATAGACGCCAAAATTACTTCACTCGGGACTGAAAGGCTCCGTTAAAACACAAATGACTACGGTCACAAGGCTGTACCAGCCAAACTAACGCGACTCGGGGACGCCCGACCATCTCTACAAATCACAGGCCTTCAATTACTTCGAATATACTTCGGAAAGAACCGGTTAAAATGGCTAGCCTCGACATAGGCAAAAGATCTTTGACCATGTCAGCTCCTAAACATTAGCTTTGAGATACTCAGACTCCGAGCCAAACCTCCCGAAGTGCTCGATCATCGCCACATAACGACTCACAATCGAGGTTTTTTATTAAACCGTCGAAGAGTCAGGCAAACACTATTTCAAAAAATCCTTATCGAGGGAAAAATAAAGTCTACATAAAAGGTCGCATCGACCCAAAGCGTATGAACCACTGTCGCCAGCCCACATAAAAGGTCGCATCAATCCAAAGCATAAGAACCACTATTTCTAGCCCACATAAAAGGTCGTATCGACCCAACGCGTAAGAGCCTAAGGGCCAGCTTTAAATTCAAAAACTTGAGGGTCGAATAAGCTCGAGTCGAAACCCGATTCGAAGACTGATCCCAAAACAATTAACTGAACATGCCTATGAGCAAAAGCGTAAGACCCATTGTCACCAGCCCATACAAAAGGTCGTACCGACCTAACGCGTAAGAGCCACTATTGCCAGTACTAAAATTGAAGGTCGTACCGACCCAATGCATAAGAGCCACTATCGCCAACGCTAAAATCGAAGATCATAGTGACCCAACATATAAAAGTTAGGTCTAATCCGAGAACACTCGGGGACCGAGTTTCGAACGTTATGGGCCGCTCAACAATAGCAACAACCCGAGGGTATAGCCCAAGATCTAAGATCTCAGATCGATTATCAAAAGTATCACATATTATTCTCAAAGGGCAAAGGAGAAAAGAAATGATAAAAAACAAAAAGCCTATTATACATATGGCTCGCAGAGGTACTCTTACAAGGCTTTTGAAAAACCCTCACAAGGAAGGGGCCAAATGGAGTCCTAATCTATCATTAAGCCTGCATCTTTGGCGGCTCCGCTGGAGGTTGCGCCCCAATGGTCCCGGCTACAGTCCTAGGGCCTTCAACGACCTCTTCTCCTCGGGAGGTCCCGCCTTCGTTATAATCATCTTCTAAGCCACTACCCGGCACACCTCCAGAAGCGAACATGACAACAACTTTCTTCTCTAGGGTCTTCACCTTATCGAGCTCGGCAGACAAATTGATATCCTCGACATGTATGCCCTCAAGGGTCTGCCTCCGAGATTCTAATCGAGCGTGCTCTATGGATCGAGTTAATTTCAATTCGGTCTCCTTAGGCACTTTCCCGATTTGAGCGTTTATTATGACGACACCCTTTTTGTGCACAGATATAAGCGCCTCAGCTTCAGTTTTGATCCCGGATAGTGCAATAACTAACTCAGAGTGGAGACCTCTATAATTGTCATTATTCGCCTTCGTATCTCGAAGTTGACGCCCAACTAAGACCATCTTTTCCAGGAAGGCATCCCTCTTAGAGGTTATCTCTCTCACATGTCATTTAAGTCCGAAGTGTTTAGAATCTCTGGCTCCTCCCTCAGCAGGGCACCTTCCTTCTCAAATTGCATGAATCAGATCCAAGATGTTAAAATACTAGTATCTGGCAAACATTCAGACAATAGCAAACGAAAACTAGGTAACCTGTTCAACAAGATGAGCCCTCTCGCGCTCATAACGGGTTACCTCAGCCTGAAACCGGCTGAAAGTTTGGTTGTAAAGCACTTTGGCATGAAGCCATGAAAAAGACAAGTTAGAAAGATAAAGATCAGAATGATAGAGGTCAGAACGACAGACAATATTAACAAAAACTACCTGCTCATCTCGCCAAAGACGAGTGAAACATCAAGCTCGGGAATTCCCTCGGGAATGGTTGAAGGCCTTTCGAGTTCATCTTTGCCTCCGATAGGCACCCCCGAATCGAAAGATTCTTCATTCGGGACATATTGCATTCCCTTAGAGGGTAAGGTCATTCCCTGAAGGTAATCACTTACAACAACGACACCAGTAGGGTCAATCAGGACCATCTCTTGTCCATTTAGGGCTCCAGAACTAGGCTCCTCCGAACCACCTACCGAATGTGTCCCAGCTCGAGGGGTACTTTGTCCATTGGTCGGCTCGAGGACATCACCTGATACTCCTTTAGTGGCCTCCCCATTCCGAAGTTGGTCCACGATGACGTTGAGCTCCGGCTCGGGAGCCATCATCTCTACGGCCTAAAGATCGGTCTAGTTTTCCCCTCCCTCGGGCGCTATCGAGAAGTTATTTTCCCCCTTGCCTTCAACTCGAGGACTTCTCGCTGCTTTCGGAGTTAGGGATGTCGGGTCCGCCTTAGTTTCTTCTGCCTTGATCTTCTTGGATTCCGAAGGTTCATTCGACGGATCCCTTTGTCTTTTCTTCCCTTCATCAGGTACCAAAGCGCTCTCCTCACCAAGCGATGTTCCCTTCATTAGGGGGACCTCCCTATACCTACACAAATGCAAGAGGTAAGCATAGGGAGTGAGAGCGCTATCAGTAGCGATTTAGATTGAAAGATACAACTACAACAGGGGTGAAGGCTCACCATGGTCCTTAGCTTCTGATCGGGCTTGAGACAGATCACGCCACACTCGCTCAGCATATGGGCAAATCGAGTCCAACCGGATGACCCAGCCCGAGAGGTCCGTGATCGCGCCAAGGTAAATCGTTGTGGCTGCATTAGCAGAAGAAATTAAGTGCATGGAAGAATGTACTTAAA